TGCCACCTCTGCTGTCCCTAACCTGTTTGTTCCATTGAACACTAACCCAAAGGAGGTCCAAGAAATGAGGAACAAGGTTTGTAACTGCTGTTAAATAATTTAATTTGCCATCACTGTTGTTGAAATTGCATACTTGTAAACAGCTAATAATTTATGTTGTAATAAGGTCTTGCAGAAATCAAACGCATGGCTTCTGCATTGTCCTCCCCATGATAACTAGAGGCAGAAACAGTCGCTATGTATTCTTGAACTAAGCTCAGTAGTCTTTTGTCACCTGCTCCCTTTGAACCAAGGAGGGCTTTAAACTAAGTTCAAAGGAAGCATGTGATAAAAGCCCACAGTTAAGTATGTTAAAAAAAAGGTGACCATACCAGAGGGTTAGATGTGGGGGGGTGGGGAGGACATGGAAAATTACAAGAGAGAAATTAGTGGGGGAATCTGCCCAACATCTTAGATGTCTTTACAGATGCTCCCCGACTTACGCAAGCATTCTGTTCCAGAACACCTTGTGTAACTCGAATTTTGCGTAAGTTGGAAATGTATACCCGACCATTACGCCAAAAAATCAACAACCCTATTTCTAGCTTACGGAACTTTTTCTGTTAGGTGTGGATTTGCGTAAGTCGGATTTGCGTAACCCGGGGGGGCATCAGTACTCAAATGTAAAAAGTATGGGGAATGAACAGGAAGTATTAGTACATAAGCTAAATTATGACTTAATTGGCATCACAGGAACTTGGTGTGATAAATTTAATGACTGGAATATTGGTATAGAGGGGTATAGCTTGATCAGGAAGGACAGGCAGGGTAAAAAGGGAGGAGGCGTTGCATTATACATTATACATCAAGAATATATAATAAGCTTGTTCTGCGGTCCAGAAGGAGGTGGGAGGCAGACAAGCTGAAAGCTTCTCGGTTAAGATAAAGGGGGTCAAAAATAGGGGTGACGTTCTGGTAGGGGTCTGCCATAGACCACCAGATCAGGAAGAGGAAGTGGATGAGGCATTTCTAGAACAGATAACAGAAATAACCAAAATACAAAACCTGGTACTAATGGGAGACTGTAACTCCCCTGTCATCTGTTGGAAAAGTAATATGGCAAAAGATAAAATTTCCAGTAAGTTCTTGGAATGCTGTGGGGAACAGCTTTTTGTTCCAGAACGGAATTAACCAGGGAGATAGACATTTTAGACTTGATTCTGACCAACAGGGAGGAATTGGTTGCAAATCTGAAGGTGGAAAGCAATTTGGGTGATAGTGATCATTATATGATAGCTTTCATAGTTCTAAAGAAAGGAAGGAGTGAGAACAGCAGAATAAGGACAGGGGACTTTAAAAAAGCAGACTTTAACAAATTTAGATAAATGGTAGGTAAGGTCCCATGAGAATAAAATCTAATAGAAAAAGGAGTTCAGGAGAGCTGGCAGTTCCTCGAGACAATATCAAATGCGCAACTGCAAACTGTTCCAGTGTGAAGGAAAGATAGGAAGGATAATAAGAATCCAATATGGCTCCACCAGGAACTCTTTAATGACCTAAAAATCCAAAAAGGAATTCTACACAAAGTAGAAACATGGACAAATTGATGAGGAGTACAAAAGTATAGCACTAGCATGTAGGAACAAGAGCAGAAAGGCTAAGACACAAAATGAGGTATAACTAGAAAGGGACATCAAAAAGGTAATTAAGAAGAGGTTCTTTAAATACACTAGGAGCAAGAGAAAGATGAAAGATGAAAAGAAGTGCATCTCTTCTACTCAGCGGGGAAAGAGAGCTAATAACTTATGACATCAAGAAAAATGAGATGTTTAATGCCTGTTTGCTTCAGTCTTTGCTAAGAAAATTAATGGTGACTAGATGCTCAGTACAGTTAATATTAAGAACAATAGGGGGAGAAACGCAAGCCAAAATAGGGAAAGGTTAAAGAATATTTAGATAAGTTAGATGTGTTCAAGTCGATAGGACCTGATGAAATTCATTCCAGGTTACTTATGGAACAAGCTGAAGGAATCTTGGAACCATTAGCAATTATCTTTGAGAACTTCTGGAGGATGGGTGGGTTCCCAGAGGACTGGAGAAGGGCAAACATAGAACCCATCTTTAAGAAGGGAGAAAAAGAGGCCATGGGGAATTATAAACTAAGCCTAACTTCAATACCTGGAAAGATACTGGAACAAATTATTAAATAATCAGTGTGTAAGCACCTGGAGCTAGCATTGCTCGGTAGTGGTGCAGGGGGGCATAGGGCAGGCTCCCTACCCGGCTCCAGGGAAGTGGCAACCCCAGCTCCTAGCTCCATGTGCTGGCAACTGCGGCCAATGGGAGCCACGGGGGCAGTGCCTGAGACAGCGGCAGCAGCACATGGAGCTAGGAGTTGAGGGAGGGGAGTTTGTCGCCCTTCCAGGGAGCCCTCTCCCCCCAGATAAACTGCCCTGCACCCCCAGCCCTGAGCCCTGGGGGGCGGGAGGGCCTGAGACTGCTGCAGCAGCGGCCAGTGCACCTGGCATAGGGGCTACGTGAGCTGCTCTGGCAGCCCCGAGGTCAGGTGCGCCAGACTCTGTAGAAGTCACAGAGGTCACGGGAAGTCACGGAATCCGTGACCTCCATGACAAACTTATTACTACTTGGCCAGCTTCTGCGTCTGCTATTAAGTTATAAAATTCCAGGCAGACTCTTTTTCAGGAGGTAGGGTCCAGAATTGAGCCACATACATGATGTGGCTGTTAATTGTTATAGGGCCTGGGGGCCAACCAAGACCTTGAGCTAAGCAATTTACAGTCCCTGCCCTGAAGAGTTCACAATTTAAATAGACAAGACAGAAAAAGAGTAGGGGGAAATGATCAATCATCATGGTAGTGCTGTGATTTTTTGTTTTGGGGGCTTTTTAGGGATGGGATTAGCTAAATATTCTAAAATGGCTTCTGCTCATAATTAAAACTCTTTGCAAAATATTTCCAAACCTTTGTCAATTTAAAATTAAAGCACAGAAGTATGGATCCACGAGTCTTTGGACATTGTTTTATAATTGGGCTGTGATTAGGCAAGGTGTGGTTCTCCCCCACTTCCCAGATCTGTTGAGCCAGATATTAACCATTTGAAAGTGGTCCTGTGGTTTGAATTCCAGTCTCTATGTGAAATTAACTTTAAATGTTACCACTGGTCTTCTATGAGGAAGGGATTTGGATCATCCTATTTAGCTTCCATTCTTACAAAAGTGCGAACATATGTTCGCAATCTGTTAGCAAAAATTAGTAATGGGCTAACTTGCCTCTAATTGCTGCTTCTGGTGCTGTTAGTTGATGCCACTATTGGAAAAGGGAGTTTGTGCAGGTAAAAATCTTGTAAAAAGTTACTGGCATGAACACTGTTTAGTGCTAAAGGAGAGTCTGTTTAAGGTTAAGGATAGAGCTATCATCTTTGTCCCAGCAGTGTTGTGGAATGGTCACTGTTTAATATGGAAAGTCCCGTGCAATAATCAATCCAAAAGGCATAAATCTTGAAACGGAAATCTATACATGTGAAAGGTTCAAGTAGGCAAATGTTGATACTCGTTATGTTGAGTTTCTCATGCTGATGGTACATTATTTTCTGTGTGAACGTGCCTTCTTTCGAAAGCCCTGGGCTTGTTAAATGATAGTTGAACTTATCGTGTAGAATCCTTCACATACTTAGGTTTCCAGTTTTTATAATCTGCTCTTCCTGTGGGAGCTGTGGGGGTTTTATTGGGTTTGGTATTTCGCAGCAATCCAGTCATCAAAAAAACTGTACTCTAAGAACAATATTAAACATTTTTGTGTAGCAACGTAGAAGGTAGATTTGTTGGTCTTGTCCAAAACAAATAATTTATGGAAAGCCTGGTTTTGGGAGCAGTATTTCAGACAGAGGTAAAGGTCAGAGGTAGACTAGATTGCATAGACAAAACTTTATTTAAGGAGTTTGAATACCCTGACTCTTCTGAAGTATCTGCTCTGTAATGATCCCAGTTCTACTAAATAATACAAAGAACTGTCAATACAAGGGTTAAGTAACTAGAAGTGCAGTGCCAAAACAAATTATATTCTAGGTTCCTGCTTTCCACTATAAAAATATATTTGGAGAAACAGAATTGCTAGTAAACTTGCAACTGACAATAGAGAGAATATATGGAATAAGACTCATTCTTACCTTTTTGCAAAAACTGTCTCACGGAAACTGTCAACTTGGTCTAAATTTATTTTTTTAAATGTTTATAAAACCTAAGATCAATAGAAATGTCTCCACAGTTAAAAAGAAATTAAGTTAAAACAGTTGTTAAATAAACATTTCCACTGTGGTGCTAAAAACCTGAAAGTGAAACCAACCGAAAACAGAAGTAAAACTGATTTCATGAGTTTTCATTGCCCCAGTCAAGATAAATGCAAGAAGTAAACCAAGAGTATAAATAGAGTCGTGGGAATAGGATTTTTAATATTTTCAGTTTTAATAATCTTAAGTGTTGATAGTAAGATGGATAGTCTCTTTTGTTTACAACATAACTTTAAGATGAATATCCCTTTGTCATCCATGCAATCACAAGTGAATCCCTCTAAATGCATCCTTTTCTGCAGCTTTAGAAACAGCACTCCAAACTACTTTAGAAATGTTGCATGCTGGGTGAGCAATTATGGTTTCATTGCTCTCACAAGACATCTAAGTTCAGGAATTACTTTATTTCTATTCCCACGTTGTGGAGTGAGGAAAGAGCTTGCAGACATTGAAGACATAAAAGAGAGCATTTGTATTTAGAGACACAGATGGATACCTCTTTATGCAATTAACTGATTTTTGCTTTAAAAAATATCCATTTGTGCACATGCAAGTGAGGGATTTTGCATTCTTGAACGAATGTACTCATTAGCATCCGCTTCGAAAGTATAGCCACCACTGTCAAAGTTTGGATGGTAAATTGAGGTGGTAAAGAGTATTGTTATTAAATAATCAATTTGTATGTATCTAGAGGATAGTAGAATTCTAGTAATAGCCACATGGAATTGTCAAGAACAAATCATGTCAAACCAATCTAATTTCCTTCTTTGACAGGGTTACTAACCTAGTCGATGGGGGAAAGCTATAGATGTGATGCATCTTGATTTTAGTAATGCTTTTGACATAATCCCACAACATTCTCATAAGCAAATTTGGGAAATGTGGTCTAGATTAAATTACTATCAGGTAAGTACAAAACTGCTTGAAAGATCAAAGAGGAGTTATCAAAGGTTTGCTGTCAAACAGGGGTGGGGAAAAATCTCTAGTGGGATCCAGCAAGGGTCTGTTCTGGGTCTGGTACTAGTCAATATTTCCATTAATGACTTGAAAAGTGGAGTGGAGAGTGTGCTTACAGAATTTGTAGATAACACCAAACTGGGATTGGTTGCAAGCACTTTGGAAGACAATATCAAAATTCAAAACAACCTTGACAAATTTTAGAACTGGTCTGAAATCAACAAGATGAAATTCAGTGAAGACCAGTATAAAGTACTACATCTGGGAAGGAAAAATGAAATTCACAACTACAAACGGGAAATAACTGGCTAGATATTAGTACATCAGAAAAGGTTCTGGGGATGATGATAGATTAGAAATTGAATGAGTCAATGGGATGCAGTTGTGAAAAAGGCTAATATCAATCTGGGGTATTAATATTAACAGGAATGTTGTATATAAGACACAGAAGGTAATTGTCCCAGTCTACTCAGCCTTGGCGAGGCCTCAGCCAGAGTAGTATGTCCACTTCTGGGCACCACGCTTTAGGAAAGATGTGGATAAATTGGAGAGAGTGGAGAGGAGAGCAGCAAAAATGATGAAAGGTTTAGAAAACCTGACATACGAGGAAATGTTTAGTCTTGAGAAAAGAAGATTGAGGAGGGACCTGATAACACTCTTCCAATGTGTTACTCGCCGTTATAAAGAGGATGGTGATCAGTTGTCCTCCATGTCCACTGAATATAGGACTAGATGTAATGGGCTTAATTTGCAGCAAGGGAGATTTAGGTTTTTTATATATGATTAAATGTGCGCGTGCACACATACTTTCTAGCTACAAAGGTTAGTTAAGCCCTGGTATAGGCTTCCAAGTGAGGTTGTGCATTCCCCGTCACTGGAGGGCTTTAAGAACAGATGAGACAAACACCAATCAGGGGATGGTCAAGGTTTACTTGGTTCTGCCTCAGCTGGACAAGATGACTTCTCAAGGTCCCTTCTGGCCCTACATTTCTATTATTCTACTTTAGTAGCACTTCCTGTTGGTTTTGGAATTACAGTTCTACCCCGATATAACGCTGTCCTTGGGAGCCAAAAAATCTTACCGCGTTATAGGTGAAACCGCGTTATATCGAACTTGCTTTGATCTGCTGGAGTGCGCAGCCCTGCCCCCCCGGAGCACTGCTTTACCACGTTATAGCTGAATTCATGTTATATTGGGTCGCGTTATATGGAGGTAGAGGTGTTTTCTCTGTGGGAGTGTGGTTATGGAATGTGTGGACACTAAAAGGTTGAACATGGTAAAAGACTGATCCGGAATGCTCTGATGCCCTTCTGAACTGTCTTTCTCTACTACCTGATCAGTCTACTTTTACTATGTAAAAGGAAGGCAAATGCATGCTGTGGTACCTAGATACCAAACTGATTGGCATGTAAGAAATAATCTATATCAGTAGAATCCTGGGGGTACATCTTCAGCTAGTGTAAATTGTCACAGCTCCATTGACATCCGTGGAGCTATGATAATTTAAACCAACTCAAGATCTGTCCCTAAAACCGAGCCAAAAAAGGGTGGGTTTTTTTGTTTTGTTTTCTCTCTCTCTCCCTCCCCCTTCCTCGCCCTCCCCCCCCCCCCCGAGTGGATAAAATGGGTTTGTCTACTCATAGACTCTAAGGTCTGAAGGGACCATTATGATCATCTAGTCTGACCTCCCGCATGATGCGGGCCACAAAAGCTGACCCACCCACTCCTGGAATAATTCTCTCCCTTGACTCAGCTGTTGAAGTTCCCAAATCATGATTTAAAGACTTCAGATCACAGAGAATCCTTCAGCAAGCGACCTCTGCCCCATGCTGTGGAGGAAGGTGAAAAACCTCCAGGGCCTCTGCCAATCTACCCTGGAGGAAAATTCCTTCCCGACCCCAAATATGGCGATCAGCTGAACCCCGAGCATGCGGGCAAGATTCTCTAGCCCAGACCCTCTGGAAAAAGTTCTCTGTAGTAACTTTTAATATCCCATCATTGACCATTGTTACTAATTACCAGCGATGGCACGTTATTGACCTATTGACTAAAATCACTTTATCCCATCAAACCATCCCCTCCATAAATTTACCAAGCTTAATCTTAAAGCCAGAGAGGTCTTTCGCCCCCACTGTTCACATGTATTTATCCTGCTGTTTTCTTCACAGATCCGGGAGCAAAACTTACAGGATATTAAAACCGCTGGTCCTCAGTCACAGGTTCTTTGTGGGGTAGTAGTGGACAGGAGTCTTGTACAGGTGAGAACACAGAGTGCCATAAAATATAATCTTAAAGTTAATGTCTGGTCTCCTCTACTGTCACCTAATATGTCACTATAACATTATTCTTTAATTGGCAGAGAGTAACTGTTTATAAGGTAAGTGTTAGAGATAACACACCATTGTCTTTGTGAGAGTGCTCAGGGTCAGAAATGTAAGAGGCTTTAGTAGTGCAGCTAAAGCATGTCTGTGAGAGATGCTCCTTGATTTATTGCTGAACGTAGTGCATGAAAATTTGAAAAGGCTATTTATATGGGTTCGAATCCTGCTCAAAACTAGTCAGGCTTTGTGACAACTTGGATATTTTTCAAGTTAATGTACTTTTAAAATATAAGATATTGGAAACAGCAGAGTCAGTTTTGTGTAATAGTGTGTATTGAATATATTCTGATAACTTGACAATGTATTTGGAGATCAATTAAAAAAGAAAAAACTATTGGTATTGTGCATCAACAATAAAATCATTAAGCTAAAAATACTGTCTTTGATGCACTAAGTAAATAGACTTTTTTGAATTATTGTTCAAAATAAGAGTTTAAAGTGCTCGCTGTACAGTTACTCAGCAAAGTGCACACTGTAATGACTTAAAAACTTACATCTCAGTAAATGTGAGTAGTATAATTGGCAGCAGATAAGTATTTTCTGATGCACTTTATGAAGTTTGACTAGTCATATCATGAACATAGCATTTTTCAGTCTGGGTGTGATATTAGTGTGCATGTCAGTTCATTATCATTGCTATTTTATCTACCACTTACTGTTTCTCTGCATGTTTATAACTAGTGTCACATAATGCTCATGGTTGATGTGTTAAAGCCTGGGCTTGGTTTGCTCTGTTTACTCAATTTACTGTTGCAGGATGCTCCCCTCTCAGACTGTACGGAAACTATTGAAGGGCTCGATCTCACAGAGCAGGCCTTTAGTCCCGCTAAATCTCTCTCTGTTAGAAAGGTACTTACTGCCCTGTCATACTGCTCTAAATACTGTTGTTCACCCTTCACTTCTACCTCTCCCTACTCTGCCCTGTTACCTGTAATAGCTAAAGAGTTGGCTTTAATAGAAAGACTAGATTAGGGGTGGCCAACCTAAACCTAAGAGAGAGCCAGAATTTACCAATGTACGTTGCCAAAGAGCCACAGTAATACATCAGCAGCCCCCCATCAGCTCCTCTCTCCCCCGCTCCCAGCGCCTCCCACCCACCGATCAGCGCCTCCCCGTCCTTCCCCGCACCTCCCGATCAGTTGTTTTGTGGCATGCAGGAGGCTCAGGGGAGGAGCAAGGGCATGGCAGGCTCAGGGGAGGGGGCAGGAAGGGGTGGAGTGGGGCAAGGCCAGGGGTTGAGCAGTGAGCACCCCCCAGCACATTGGAAAGTTGGCGCCTGTAGCTCCAGCCCTGGAGTCGGTGCCTCTACAAGGAGCCGCATATTAACTTCTGAAGAGCTGCATATGGCTCTGGAGCCACAGGTTGGCCACCCCCAAACTAGATGGATGTACAAATTATGTATGTGCCATTCTACACGCAGTTAAATTACCCTTTTAAAGTACCTCTTAAAGATGTTGTTTCTTTTTATATATTCAAACTGGTGAATAACATGAAAATGTGTGTGAAGTTACGGGGCTCATCAGGAGTTCTGCATGTGGTGTTTGGTTTGTGCATGTCATCGGTGCTCAATAATCCTAATTTGAGATCCATTTTGAGCTAGCCTAGCCTCAGCCCGATTGCATCAGTGTAATTCCAAAGATAACCACAGGTCTAAGGTTTACCAAGCTAACTTTAAAAAAAAAAAAAACTTCTGATTTTGAGGCTCCTATGCTGCAAGGATGCCGGATGCCTCCTTCTATATTCCTGTAATAGGAGCTGAGATGCAGGAGCTGCTCAGCCCTCCACAGGGCTGAGTCCTAAATATACTAATTATCAAGTGGTTAATGAATAAACAATATCTACGGCATTTTATGCAGTATAATTAAGGCAGAAGATAAATCTAAAATGTGTTTTGGGTTTGCTTGGGAGGCTAAGTAAAATTGGAGTAATTTCCACAATGTAAATTCTTCAGTCTGCCCTTTGATGGGAGTTCAATATGGAACTTCAGCAGGTAGATGTGTATCGCTCCCTTTCTTCTCTGTCCCTCACCACCGCCATCAAATTCTCAAATTAACTGGAAGCTAAATAAATTGTGCCTCAAATCTCCTTTCTCCATCACCATGTTTATCCTGTCAAGAAGTGAGACCAATTTGAAATGTATAGTTGTTGCAAGTCCTGTGATTTTTTTTTTTAACATGCTATCTGTGATCAGCCAATCTGTATTGTACATACATCATATACCATATTATTGTGAGCGTGGTAAACGCTGGTTTTCAGGCCAAATCTCATGTTCTTGTCAGAAAGTAGCCATATTCTAAAGAGAAGGGTAATGAATTATTCTTTTCAGATTTAAGGCTAGAAAATATAAACCCAAAAGCAAACACTTCAAAAGCCTTCACTTTTCTATCTTCTCTGCTCAGTTATCATAATTTCAGCAGAGGGATTGGTGGTTTTAAATAATGTCATCACAATATACAGTAATTTTTACCAGTGAAACGCAAGATTTCATTTCAATTCTTATAAAGTGTTTGAATAATTGCAGTACTCTTGTAATGGAAGTATTCACAAGTAGTTTACAAGGATTTTAAAGGTAGCAGAGGCCAGAAGTATGGGCAAAAGTATGTAATATGATTTTAACAGTATATAATGTCAGGGCAAACCATCCAATGAAGTGTTTTTTCCCCTCTTATTGGTGTCATTAATATCCTAGGTTACCAGTGAAATGATGTAAAATTATCTATCTTGACACATAGAGTAGTAGTTACCTACCTACCTAATTATCTTTGTATGAAATGAGAATTGGGAATTTGGGACAGGAATATTTTGAAGAGTGAGGAATTATTGTATTGTAAAAAATGGCATTGATGGGTAAGCAAATGATGCGGGTAGATTGTGCTGAAAATCCAAACACAAATTATATATTTTCCCTTCCATTTAAGATTTTTCAGAGCAAAAAAAACCCTATAGGAAATATAATGCACAACCAATCAAACTTTTTAAAATCAATTGTATTGTTAGGATTCTATAAAGCACTAGAGATTCTTCTGTTGTCAATTTCTTAGAAATTTGCACTCAAATAAAGTAATAGCAAGAAATTGCTATCTGAATAGGATTTAAAAAAATATTCAGTTAACATTGGGATATACATGAATTAGTAACATTCATTTAAGAGAAAAAATTCCAATGTTACATAAAAAATATGTATATAATCATTTGAGTCCAGTCTTGCCTAGAGCTGCACCGATAAATTATCAATTTTGCCTCATCAAATGCTTTGACGCTCTCAGAAATTCTGGCCATGTCACATCACAAGGCCCTTATTATGCATCACATAATTGTAATCACATTGTGAACCATATTAACTAAGTTTCTGCTGCAATCCTAACCAAATAGGGAATTTGGGTGGGTTTTTTCATTGACATTCTGTGATGTAATAAAATTAACAAGATACGGGCCATTTCCCTGTTCTTGAAATGGAGTAGCTATTCATGTCTCTTCCTAAAAACTGCTCCATAGCTTTGCTTTTGCTGAGTAAGTTCTATGTTCTGCCCTATGAGTGGCTCCATTTCAGTGGTGATCTCTGGCTGCTAAACACCTTGAGACCTGGTCCTTTCAGATAAAAAGCACTATATAAGCACAAGATGCTAATGTGAATTAACTGCCTAAACTTTTTAATGAGTCGGTTATCTGTTAGCAAGACAAAGTGGGTGAGGTAATAGAGAGACAAGCTTTCAAGCTATCAGTTATCTATTGTATTTCATGCGCTTCATAAAGGGAAGAAAGATGCACATATTAGGTGCCAGTACTGTTCATGTTTACCCCTAAGATTAAGATGTGTTCTCAATTTACATTTATGAAAGCAAAATACAGCAGAAAGCTTACAAAGTGAGTTCTTTTTGACCAGAATTTCCATATAGGAAATGTATAGCATTATCCAGAGTTGGACATTTCTCTTGTTCACCTTCTGTGTGGGAGAAACTTACCCCTTAAACTTCTCAAGGGTGGAAAGAAATTGCATTAATGGCTACCAGTCTCGCCCATTGCTCTTCTGTTGTTAAAATCGTAAAGAAAGCAGTCCTAATGTACAAGTCAGTCACATGTAGAGTCAGACAACCTTCAAATAGTCTATTATAGTTTAAAATAATATTAAAATCAGATAATGGTCCAAATGAAGTCATAGGAACATCAGCTTCTTCTATATCATCATATCGAGAGAGCTCTTCCTTAAGGTCCTCTCTCATTATTGATGAAGACACAATAAATTACTGGATTCCGAGTTGATGTGTAATCTCAAATATTTTGTGCCATCTAATCTTTTTTAAAACTATGTTATAGAAAACAAAGGTAAGATTTTTTTTTTTAAATCGGGGATCACATACCTGGTTTAGTGAAAGAACTCTTTCTTCTGAAACATCAAAAACTTAGAGATGAAATGGGGTGGACCCTTCCTCTTGAATGTGCTGTTTATTAAAGTGTGTCCAGAATGAAGCAATTAGTAGCATATCTTCAATAATTTCAAGTCATTTGCGGTTTCTAATATGGCTACTATTATCCGTTTGGAAAGTCTGCTTCCTACTCTGAATTCAAGATAGTTTCATACTTGCATGTTTTAGAGACCTCATGAAGATTTTTATAAATTCCTGTCTTTGCATTGCAGCCATATCTTTGGTCCTGATAATGCAAGTCTCCACCTAATCTAATTATTTACCAAAAACTTCAATTTTTTGTTTCATAATACCCATAGTAATTCAAATCACATGTGTCTAAATGGACACACTTTGCACTATTCTTTTTTGGAGGAGGAAAGCAAAGTAACTCTTGATCGAGTCAGCAGTACTGTCCTGCTTCCAGTGGCCGTTCTTTAATTGTGGTGCATTTCATGCTGCGATCATCCAGGA